CACCAGGGGGGCTTTTTGGGGGGGGGAGAGCGTCCAACTTTGGAAAAGTTTACCCTCCGGTCAGTCAAGCCAGCAGTTCCCAGCACAGCGCTTCTCTGGCACATCCTTCCCAAGCCATTTCCCGTGGACCCGGGACCCCCATGCTCCCCTCACTGCCCCAAACGTACCTCTGAGTAGCACAGGCTCTGCTCTTTGGACTTGTTTAGCTTCGGTCCGTGCTCCTGGAGAGGAGAAAGGAGGAAGGCTTAGGGCAGGTACATGCACTCAGGGTCGCTCCTGCCCGGGCTCGCACCCTGAGGTTTGAGACACCCCCCAAACCCCTCCCGGGAGCTGTGGAGCCACCCTGCAAGGGCGCAGGGTGATGCCTGTAGTCCTATCCGTGGGGTGCCAGAAATCGTGGCTCAGAGCGCAGGGTGGGTGTCCAGGCGTGAAGCCTCTCTGTGTGTTGACCCAGGGGGGTTCAGAAGAACTTTGCAAATGAAGAGAAGGAAGAAAAGGGGCTCACCCCACCCCCTGGGCAGCCCAGGGTCTTCGCTGGGCTCCTGCACGGAGCAGGAGAGTGCACACAGCACAGGGCTGGAAGCACTCAGGCAGCTTCATCCCAGCCCCACGTGCACTCCCCCTGCGCCCTCTGCTCCAAATGCTCCCGCAGAGGACCCCTGTGACCTCTCCCTGGCCACGGTCCCCCCCGTCCCACTCCTCTCCCGGCAGTCCCTTACCACCCAAGGAGCAAGCATGAAGCCACAAGCCTAGCACAATGCAAGAAAATATGTCTTTTCCAGGTTTCCCAAAACCACACGGAATTTAAGCAGTTTTCACCCCAAACGAGCCGAGGGTAGGAGAAGTTGGGCTGGGGGCAGCTATGCCAACTCACTTTGCCCTGGGCACAGCACCGTGCCAGGCAGGGGATGATGCAAGGGGGATGGGCAGGCAGAGATCCCTCGCCTCCCCCACCCCAGATGCCCAGGCAGTGCCCAGATCCCCATTGACCAGGGATGGCCGGATCCCACCAGGCACCTGGGTACCAACACCCCATCCCGACCGAGACGCCCGCACTGAGCAGGATGTTCTGCTGCTCCCATCTCCTGGCTGATGGACCCAGCGGTGGTCCAGACCAGTGCCCCCCAGTTTGTGGCAGGATCCGGGCTCGGGTCCCACCTGGACAGAGGTGCAGGTGGTGATGACGCTCGTGTCATAGATGGTGTTGCTGTCGTTGATGTCATCCGGCAAGGCAGGGCTCTTCTCCGTCTTTGGTGGCACGGTGACGGGGGGCGAGGGGTTCTTGGGGGACAGGTTCACGTCGGTGCCATTGCCGAAGGCTTGGATGGCGTTTCCTGGGGATAGGAGATGTTTAGGGGGGCAGCTGCACCCCGGTGGTGATGGGTCAGGGTGAGAAGGAGGACGGGGACTTACGGAGACAGGGGTTTTCCGCGAAATCTCGGAGGAATTTCTCACACTCCTCCTCCATGTTGCCGCTGCCTCTGCAGGAGCACCAGGGCGAGATGGTGATGCTGGTGGGGCTGGCGTCGATGTAGTTGGGCGTCATGTCAAAGCCTGTTCCCAGGCGAGGAGGAGGAAGAGGGATGAGGAACCGCGGTGGGAGACACCCTTCCCCATCCCGACCCCCCGGCACTCACCGATGAGCCCTGCGTAGGAGCCCAGGCACGCCTGGTAGTTGTCCCCGGGGCAGCTCGTCAGGGATTGGAAAGAGGCTTGGCAGTTGGTGTGGAAATCGGCCAGCCGGGACCTACGGACAAAGAGGATGTCATCCCCGCTCCCGGCACGGAGCGACTCAGCAGCGGGGAGAATCATCAAAGAGAGAAAAGAGGATAAATGGGATTGAGAGAGGAGATTTAAATCAGATCCAGACCCCAGAAGGTGATGGGTCAAAGGAGGGGCGTCTGCCCGTGGTACCCCAACCCTGCTGGGAATGAGCCCCCGAGCATGGGACCCTCACACGTCCATCCTTTCCTGCTCCCAAACCCCCCGGCCCTTTCCAAGCCCGACTGGCAGAGCACCCCATAAACTTCACAACTTCATTTGGCCGCGCTGCTCCCGGTGTCATTACACGACCGTAAAATTTCACTGCTTGTTTTTATCTTCCCCCTGAAATGTTAAAGCTTGGAGTGCAATTAAAATGCCTGAGGTTGGGGGTAACATTTTCCTTTCTTCTTCTGCAGCTGAGAAGGGGAAAAAAATCCCAAGGGAAGCTGAGATCTGGGAAGCTGAGATGCAGGGAGGGTTTTGTGTAGGTTCGCAGAGATGTTCCGAGGGCTGGAGCCCCTCTGCCATGGGGACAGGCTGGGAGAGT